GAAGAGAAATTTTGTGGTCGTGGTGGGATGGAGAGGAATTCTCTTCCTGCTGTCTTCCAATCTTTCTATAATGATCCATTTGTCATAAAGGGAAATAAGAACCAAATGATCTCCCAGAGCTTGAACAAGTACTGGGAAGCAATCGTGATGGTGCGTAAATGCAACATCCTAAATTCAGTTGGAAAGCTGAGTTGTTTGAGAAGAGATTTGAACTTTGGCTGAACTGCCTCCCTGTGCTGCTAAGCATGGCCCCCGAATCTTCTCTTTAGGCCAGAGGTCCCCAAACTTTCACAGCATCTTTAAAGTTTTTGCAAATTTTTTTTTTCCTGGCATCCTTTGTCTGCAACAATTATCTAACAGTTCAAACAACTTAAGTAATTGTGTTCTATCTAATAACACAATAGCCAAATATATTAGTTTCCTATTGCTGTTGCAGTACATTACCACAAACTTAGTGACAGGGCTGTGCAATTCTTTATGCTTTTCACAGGCCACCTACAACATTTAGGCAAAGCGAGATGTGGGAGCTATGGTATGGGAGATGTCAGCTGTCACAGAAATAACCACAAGGGGGTTACAAACAGTAATTTTTTTTTTCCTCTCTTAACAGTCGAGGAGGCTAGAAACAGATTCAAGGTTCTGGCTCTAGGGGGAGGTTTTCACGCTCTGTTGACTCTGGGGGGAAGGTCCTTCTCTCTTACCATCTGTGGGCTTGGGACCCCCTTGGAGATCTTCATGGGTCTTAGCATCAGTCTTTCTCTGAGTCTAGGTGGCTCTTCTTTCTTAGTCATAGGAGGTCCTTCTCATCTCTGCTTAATGCTCCAGACTGTAAGATTGGGTTGAACTTCAAGGTCAGAAGTTCAAACTCACCAATTAGTCCTCAGAAAGCCTACACAGGGTCGCTGTGAGTGGGAACTGACTCAACAGCACTTAACAGGACAGGATATCTCAGAAGAACTAGATTTAAGACACAAACTAATTTTGTAGATTACCTCACTAACATAACCCCCTGTAACCCTGTCTCATTAACACGGTGGTAGTGGTGTGCCATCCAGGTGCTTCCGATTCATAGTGACCCAGTGTAGGGTTTCTGAGGCCATCAATCTTTACAGGAGCAGAAAGTCTCATCTATCTCCCACCATTAACATCATTTGTTGTTGTTAAGTGCCTTTGAGTCGGTACCGAGCCATAGCGACCCTGTATAGGGTTTCTGAGGAGCAGCTGGTGAGCTTGCACCACTGACCCTGTAGTCCAGCACATTAACCCGCAGTGCCACATAGGTGAGGGTTTACACCACAGGATAGTGACATCAGATCGCTCACTACATGGAGGAAAATTACATAATGCTGAGAATCCTGGCCTGACGGTGTTGACGCATAATTTTGGAGGGCATGCTTCAGTCCCTGACAGGAGACTAGCCCACTTTATATGAGATTCATACTTTATACAAGACCCTAGCAAGTGATATTCAAGTTGTGGCTGGTGAGGGGCCAGAGTGGTAGAAGCTAAAGCATTGTCTACAAGGGACCTTTGGCCTTGGGTCATGACATTGTACTCAGCTCTCCACAAGGCCCCAATTCCTCATGTCTACAGTGGACTACAAAATGTAATGCTCACCAAAGACTTGCTGATGTTGTTGAGAATAAATTTATATTTGTAGATTTAGCCTTAATTATACCTTTTATGGAGTCCTGGTGTGGTGCTATAGCATCGTAAGTACTGGATTACTGACTGCAAGGTCAGCGGTTCAAACCTACCAGTTACTCCTTGGAAACCCTATACAGGGTCACTATAAGCAGGAACCAACTCAGTGGCTCCTAACAACAGCAGTGCCCTTTCTGTTTGATTGGGAGGGTGGTGCTAGGTCAGGCAGTGCTTTATTCTCCTGTCTCTGTGACTCAGACTCCACTCAGTGACACCTAATAACGTGTTTTGAAAATAGCAGCTTGTATTTATTTTTTTCCCATGTCTCATGTTGTTATAGCCGGGGATGCCACTGACAGAGAATAATGGCACATTTCTGAAAGGTTCCCACTAAGACGTGTCACGTGTTTTCTTGCCTGTCCCTTGGAAGACGGAAAGCAAAAGTTCAAACGCAACTTTTTCAAAGTCAGAAATTGGTGCACAGACTGAGATGATTTCCCTGTTGTTATGGAGATGAATCTCAGACTCAGGGAAGAAGAGACCCGTTTTCCACATTTTCCTTTTTTGGGGAATCAAGTCAGACATACCTAAGAAAGGGGAAAGTAGTTTAGTCTGAAGCTGAGAAGGACAAGAACAGGATCGTGGCTCTGTGCTGACCCAGGTAGTCTCTTTGCATTCCCAGCCTCTTGCCTGTAAGATGTACCTGACCCTCTCCTGTGTAGTCTCTGCAGTTACACCAAGCATGAGACAGATGGGTTGGAGTTCTGAATTTGGAGTCAGGTGGTTTAGTGATCTTGTAGTTGAAGCTAAGGTTCAAATGTGAAGCCCACTAAGCTTATATTGCCTGACTTCTCACAGCAGTCAGGGGCGTTGGTAGTTCTGTGGTAAATTCTCACTTTCCATGGGAGGAGACCAAGGTTCAATTCCCTGTCTGACAGCGGAGGCTTGTGTGATGCTGTGGTGCTGACCAGGTTTTAGAGGCGGCTTCCAGACCAAGATGAATTAGGAAGAAAGGCTTGGCGATCTGCTTCTGCAACCCAGCCCATGTTAGCCCTGCCGTCCTAGCAGTCATAGGCATGGTGCAGGACTGGGCAGTGTTTCCCTCTGGTGCACATGCCGGACTCAACGGCAGCCAGCAACATCACAGACTAAATAATGTGCAAACCCTTTGATCCAGCAACCCTGCTTCTAGAAACTCATCCTTTGAGCACATCAAAGGTGGGGCATTGGGAGTGGGGGACCATGGGTGTGAGCACCCAGAACTGTGCATGACACATGGGGACATGCAGTCAGTGTTTGTCAACATTAGGCGTTGCATTTATTGAACGATTAAGTGAACATTCTTCTAGATGCAACATAAGCTGATTCTGTTGCATCAAATTGTTGGGATTTGCTTGCTATTATATTGGGATTCTCCCTCCCCCATATATCAAAAGGATTATATATACTGTGGTGAGCATTTTGTTCTGCATAACTGTTTTTGAATGTTTGGAGTTATTTTCTTCAGTTAAATTCCCAGGATTTGATTTCCGGATCAGAGGAGATAAAAATCCGTATTAACAAACTGCTTTCTAATAGTCTTTCTTACTCTGTTCTCAGCAGTGGTTGAGAGTGTTAGTTTCACCATAACCTCACCTGCATTTACATTATAATTTTAAAATTTTGATATTTTAGTACAATATGATGATACCTTATTGTTTAAATGTATAAGTTTGGTTATTAGTACTGGCTGAAGAATTGTCACAGCATTTAATAACTATATGTATGCCTTATCTATTTGAGTAGTTTGTATATGGGAATATAAATTCTGTGATTAGATTTGAATGAGCGTCTCATAAATATGGATATGATTTACTTTTCCTTATCATAGGGGCTCTGGTGGCACAGTGGCTAAATGCTTGGCTGCTAACTGCAAGTTTAATTGCAAGGTTGGTGATTTGAATCCACCAGAAACTCCTTGGGGGAGAGAGGAGACTGCTCCCCTAGCATGACAGCCTTGGAGACCTCACGGGACAGGGCACTTCTCCTCTGTCCTAGAGAGTCGTTAGGAGTCAGAATTCACTCGACAACAGTGGGGTTTTGGTTAGGGCTTTCTGTCATCCTCACTACAACATTCTTAATCATTTTGATGTTGTTGTTGTTAAGTGCCGACTAATATAGAGTTTCCAAGGGGCAGCTGGTGGGTTTGAACTGCTGATATTACAACTCAGCCCAACCTTGTAGTCCAGTGCTTGTCCTACTGTGCCACACCAGGACTCTGTTTAGATATTAGATGTGGTATGTAGGGATGATTTTCTAGCCTGTATTGAGTCTGGGAATGTGGTTGCCAGTAGGACCTTAAGGATCTCAGCTGACCGTCAGCCCAAACCACTCCCTCCCTAACCTCCCACTCTCTGAGCTGAGGCAGAAAAGTTAGGCCCAGTACATAGAACTATCAGGACATTTGGGAAGACTGCTCTGAAGGGGCAGACATTGGGCAGCCTGTGAGGTTCTGAAGTTGAATGGAGTGCATGACGGATGAATTGGGAAGAGAGGTTTCAAGTCCACAGTGGGAGGTGGCCATGGCTTAGCAGAACTGGTTCTTCCCGATGTGCCTGATGACACGAAGTTTCCTGTCAGCCCTTCATTTAGGGACAGTTAGATGGGGGCGTGTCCTGTCTGGAGGCTGGCCTGTTTATTCACTGCTGATGACCTGGTAAACTGCAGTGAGAGGCCCTCAGATACAATCTCCTTAAAGTCTGTTTGTTTCGTTTGGAGAAATCCTGATAGCTGGTATTGATTTGTTCATTGACTCAGCAGATCTGTGTGTTTCCCATGTTCCAGGTGTTTTACCAAAAAGTGGACAGTAGGAAAATAGTGTTGGTATAGAACCCCAGAGAAGCAAGGTGGCTCTGTAGAATAAGCACTAGACTGCAAACCACAAGGTCAGCAGTTTGAGCCCACCAGCTACTTCGCTGGAGAAAGATGAAGCTTTCTGCTTCTGTAAAGATTTACAGCCTTGGAAACCCTATACAGGGTCGCCATTAGTTGGAACCAATTCGATGACACTTAACAGCAACATTAAGAACATAGAATCCCAAATTCTGCAGGAACCTGTGACCCGCTTCATTCATTTGTGGAGTTGGGTTCCTACTACTGTCCATGGTGGAGATTCTCATGTGTTTGTACTTGCATTTCAGATGCCGTAGAGCCACGCAACACTGCTCTGGAGAACTCATCCTGGGAGACTGGCAGCTCCTGGCCAGCTCACATATCCTGGGCAGGGTCCCAGCTGACCTCCAGCTTCCACTGACACACTTGGGAAGCAGGTCGGCAGCCCTTTACCTCGAGTCTCCTGTCAGTGGCCTGCTTGTGCCATGGAGGCCCCAGAAGTTCCTGTAGGGTCGCTGATTGACTTTGGGACCGAGCCACCACTCTCTCCTCCTTTAGAGGCCCTGCCTCCACAGCTGCAGGACAGGGACAATTCACTGGGCGATGGTGCTTCTGAGAGTGAGACCACCGAGTCCGCGGACAGCGAGAATGACATGGACCAGTCTCCTTCCCACCCATCCTGGGACCAGTACCGCCGTTCTTCCTCCAATGACTCCTTCTCCTCCAGCCACAGCACTGCATCGGCCCAGGACGAGGAGGCCCTAGAGCTCCGAGAGTTCATGTGCAGCTATGTGGAGAAGGTCTTCTCCGGAGGGTAAGGGTGGGGTGTACAGACAGACCACGGACAGGACCACATGCAGCTCTGCCTTTGCTCCTGCACAGCTTTCACTTACACCAGCCAGTGATCCTCAACCCCATCCCCAGCTGCACCCGGAGGTTTTAGGGAATATTTAAAAATACCAAAGCCTGGGTTCCACTCCAAAGCCATTAAGTACAGAGCCCTGCTCTCAGGCCTTTTCCAACACCATGGGCGCACAGGGTACTGACACCAAGTCTGTCTGTGTGCCACCTGTATGCTCTTAGGAAAGGTTTCACCTCTCAGTGGTACCTCCGCTAGGCATCAAGGGAGCAGGGAGAAAAGCCATCGACTTTATTCTTCAATTGTCTTTTCTCCTGTGACCTAGATTGTGCTTATGAGAGAGTCAGAATTGTCTCGACAGCACAAAACAACAACAGATACTTGCTTGTTGTTGTTAAGTGCCGTTAATTCGGTTTGAATCACTGACCTTGTGGTTAGCAGTCCAGTGCTTATCCTACAGCGCCACATCAGGATTCTAATACAGACTTGTCGTTGTTCTATGTTATGGAGTCGGTTCTGATTCATAGCGACTCTGAACAGGGTTTCCGAGGCTGTAAATTTTCACGGGAGCAGAAAGCCTCATCTTTCTCTCACGGAACAGTTAGTTAATTCAAATTGTTGACTTCTCGGTACTTCCCATTACACCCCCTGAGTTCCCAAATGATGCAAATGATTAATGTGCTCAGCCACTAACTGAAAGTCCACCCAGGGGCGCTTCAGAAAAAAGATCTGATGATTTACTTTTGTAAAGCACAGTTCTACTCTGACACACGTGGTGGCACCGTGACTTGGAGGCACTGCATAGCAACTTCGGAGGGCTGCAGACTCTATTATACTAGAAACATTCAGCGAAAAACATAAGGAAAACACACAGATTGCCTGCAATCCCAGAAAGCTCAATTAAATTGTTATGTATATTATTCCACAGTTCAGCTTGTGCATTCCTCAGTCAGGTATTGGAAGAAGTCTCTGCTTGCTGCCACCACCCCTTGCCCTTCCCTTATTCCAGAAATGCCACTGAAATCTCTCTTGACTTGTCCCCTGCTAAGCCCAAGGACCACCTGTTTTGCTTCTGTGACACTTGAGAGTTCAGGTTAGCTAGTTGGATGTCATCAAGTTAGTCCTGATGCCTGGCAGCACCGTGTGCCAGAGTAGAATTGCCCATAGCAACTTTCTAGGCTGTCATCTTTATGGAAACAATCACCAGGCTTGTTTTCCTTATGGAGCTGTTGAGTGAGTTAGAATAGCCAACCTTTCGTTTAGCAGACAAGCGCTTAACCTTGGTGCCACCAGGGCTAGGAAGCCTAGTTATGAGCTGAAATTACATTTAGGGGCAGTATCATCGATGTATCAGGTTTCAGTTACCCATACTCCTTGTGGTACTCATGAGCACTGAGCCGTAAGCAGCTGCATTGTTGGGAGCCCTATGAGCCCCTTTGTGGTCTTTCTTGTGTGGTTTTTGAAGGTAAAAGAAGTAACAGCTGAGGGCGTCTCAGGTCTGTCCCTTAGCTTTCCATCCTTGTCTCTGCTGAGAAATATTTTAACCAGAGAGAGGGGACCCTCCCAAATTAATTTTGACTGTCTGCCTGTTGTCACTCACAGCAGCAAAGGGATCGTGAAAAAATGCGCAGTCTCAGTTCTCACCCGGGGTCTACCCTCTCAGAGCTTGCCTTGTAACAAGGTCTTTAGACAATCGTTTTGCACATTGACATTCATGAATCCCTGGCTTAAGGATAATTTTCCAGTTTCATTAGAGTGCTAAGAAGAGTGCTTTTTGTGTTGTTCTTTTTTGTAAGTTTTTGTTGTGACCTGAGTGGTAGTTTGTATTGGAGAACGTCAGCTTTACACCATCGTTTCATTGCAATGATTACAATCTCCTCCGTGCATTATCATTCAACAGTATTTGCTTCCATTCCCTGTTTTGCTTTGTTTTAAGAGGAGAGGTGGATGTACACAGAAACACTCAGAAATATATTATAATATAAACAACCAAAGGGCACATTCTGCAAGCCTGCCTCCTGGCTGCCAGCATCTAGTCCCTCTCTTTCCATGAGTCTGGAGTCCTCAGCTGCTTCCTCTCTCTATGTCCTCATCTCTGGTGTCACTGCTTCTCTGTATAGGGTCCCACACTCTGCTTGTGCTCTTTTCCTTGATGGTTCTAGGGGCCTCTGTTTCTGTACTGCAATATTAACTACTCCCCCATTTTTGTTACACACTTCTACCTTTACAGTTGTGACAGTCACAGTTAGTCATGGTAACAATTACTCACTATTGAATCATAAGAATCTTATCCCCATCTCTTTTCACTAGACCTGTCTAGACAAGATGAAAACTATTCAGTAGGGACTCTACCTTCCCCCCACCCCCATATTTTTAAACTAAACTCGCTCTTGAAAACTTGTAAGGTACTTTGCACCTGTATCGTCCCCTCATTTTAGATAGCCGGTACCTAAATTGCCTGTCCCTATCTACCCTGTATATAGAGAGGATAGGATTGGCACTTGATGTAAAGACTCCTTCCCTCTCAGTTGGTATTTTGAGCTACTACATCCATTAATATAGGTCAAGTTAATCAAATTGTTGCAATTTGCCCTCGTTTCCTTTATCAAAAATTGTTGTTGTTGTTTGTTTATCTTCTTCTAATTCAGTTCTGATTATCAAGCCATCAAGGCTAGGTCAAATGGGTACTATCTGCAACTTTGGGCATTCTGTGCATCTCCCCTCACTTCATATCGGCTGGATGCTTCACTCTCAGCTCTAGCCTTCCATGGCTATGTCCTTGTCCATGAGCTCATGGACTCACCACACTTCAGACCAATCAGCCCTTCCTCTTCTCTCTCTCATCTTCAGGTCAACAGGAGTGTATGGAGTGTGATTGATCTCAGCCCATTTCTTTATTGCTACCTTTCCCCTTCTTCCACTACCAGCAGAATAACATGGTTGCCAGCAAGTTTGCATGCCTGCTCATGTGTTCCTTTTGAGTTTCCATCTTGGAGGGGAGAAGAGAGCTTTTTGTCTGTTCTCACAACTCAGAGTGAACATCATTTCTGTCCTAAATATGGTCCTTCACTGTAAGCTGCAAGAGTGCTTTGTCATAAGAGAGAACCCAGCCTCAGCAGTCCACACGGTTACAAGAGAAAGTCAAATGATAACTTCTGTTTTGGATTCTCCAAAATGCATTCATGTTTGAGTTGGGAGACAAGTACATGTGGCTTCTAGTTACCATGTTTGACTAATGAGGAAGCCAGGCAGCTTTCTGTGGGCGGAGCCAGCAGCAGACAGCCTCACCTGGAGTCCAGCTCAGGACTGTCAGCCTGTCAGCAGTGTGGGTGAAGACACTGGCAGCATTTTCAAAAGCATCCCTGAGATCAGAGGCCCGCATTTCTCCTGGTCTGGGTATTCTGAGATCCAGGAAACCACCATGTTCTCCCACTGTACTAGCCATTTGCTCAGCAGCCTCTGTTTCCTGTTGCTTCTTTACATTTTGGGATGAGCACTGGCCTCTCCCATAGAATGAGTGGAAGTGGTTTGGAATTTGGTAGACATCCTGGCTGCTGTGTGTCCTCAGTCCTTGCTGCTGAGATGAGTCCATTGGGTGTCCCATACCCACTTCAGTTTCAGAGGTTACTGTAAAGTTCGATGAGTTGGGAAGCAGAGGCCTCTTGGGGCGGTAGCACTCTCACCCATGCTAGAAATGATTGGTGTGTGTGTGTGTATGTGTGTGTGTGTGTGTGTGTGATGAATTGACTGTGGGGCCACACAGCCTGTCAGCTAACCTGCTCACCACTCTAGATGGCCCGATGCTCAGAGTCAGGCTCCTCAGCTTTGAGAAGGTACCGTTTTACACACCTTCGCTATGAGCAGGAGATTGAAAGCATCTGTATCTGGCTGGGGTCCTCTTTCTTCTCTTTCTTGAGAGCATTCATCACTGTGCTTTCCTCTGCTTTTTCCTTTAGGGAGGACTTGGAGCAGGAGGAGAAAGCCAGGTTTGGGGAGTATTGCAGCAGCGAGAATGGGAAAGGCCGAGAGTGGTTTGCCCGCTACGTGAGCGCCCAGGTGAGGGGGGTGTGGCAAGAGGAGAGGACATTCCCTCGGAAGAATCCTAGGGTGACTTGGTAGTGGAGAATAACTCCCTGTCTCATTAAGTGACCCTGTAGTTCCACTGTGACTTGACAGAAAAGAAGCCCAAAGATATTCTGAAAGAGCTGTGAGGGTGGCAGGGATTCATGTCATAAAGGGTCACGGAGCAACTGCTGCAAGACCAGGAAAATCACTGTCTTCAAGGCAACTGTGCAGACTGTGTCCTGAGTACTTTAATGCAGTAACCCACATGTTCCAAACCATCACAGCCAGGTAAAAGAGATGGGCATGACCACCTAAAGAAGAGAATTAAGCTGTGTAAATATCTAATAGGTTTTTAAATTCTTAATTCTTGTTCACTGCTTGTACATCTATTTTTCCTAGGAAAATGAGAAAATACAGACAAGTTAAAAAACAAATAAATCCACTATTCAGAAATAGTGAGGGTTACCACCTTGGAGTTTTGTCCCTCCATAACATGGGGGAGGGTGGGACATTTCTACCTTTCTAGCGTTGTGGGGACGACCCAGGAGCACATCAGCTTGCATTTCACAGAGTGACAGTAGTGTCCTGAGGTGCTGCAGCCCTGGTGGCAAGGGGTAGTAGTTTTCTGGAGAGCAGGGCAGCATTTGTCCCCACTACGCTGAGCCCTGCGCGTCCCTGGGAGTACCCCTGATGCCTCTGTCTGTTCTCCCCAACAGCGATGCAACTCCAAGTGTGTCTCAGAGCCGACCTTCTACCGCCTGGTGCAGTCCTTCGCTGTGGTACTGTTTGAGTGAGTATGACTGTAGCTGAACCCTTTATTCAGCAGACTTTGTCGTGACAACTTTGCCTGCCCTGTAATACCATAGCTGTGAGTAATACTCACACTAGTCATCAGCACACAACTGCTCTGATGCATCGACGTCGTTGCAAGTCGTGAGCAGCATCCCAGGGAAACCAAAATCGTGACCTTGACCTCACAGTGAAAATGAGAATGTGCAGCTGGCTGTGAGTAAGTTCTCGCTGGCTCGGGGCTCTGGAACAGGTCATGATTACTGTGCTCACCCTGAGCCCCTCCAGTGAAGATCAGAGCTGTTTCTGATTTCGTGTTGTAGAGCACTCAAACTAGGTCACCGCCCACCCTACAAGCAAGTAAACAAACCACATCATCTGAAGACTGAGCATCTGCATTATGCACTGCTGATGCCTCCCTCCCAGAGGGACTGGTTGGTGGGGTTGGGGTAGAGAGGCAGGAAGCTATATTTCCTTCCAGGCCCTGCACTGTCCTCACGAGCAGTTGTGGATGGGACCACTGTGCTCCAGAGTTCTCATCAGCGGCTTGTCAGAAGTAGGTTGACGGGACTTTCTTTCTCCATCGTAGTCTGGAAGCAATACTGAATCCTATTCAGCATCATAGCAGTGCACAGGCCTCCAGTGACACACAGTGATAGCTGAGAACAGTGTCCCCCACATGGAAGCCACCACTTCCATAGGCTGCTGTCATGTGGCTGTGAGCTCACCTGTCAGGGTAGGGGCCAGGTCACAGGATTGACAAGGTCTCTCCTTCTCCAAGGAGTCTTGCTTGGTGTGGCACTGTAAGATAAGCATTGGACTGCTAACTGCAAGATCGGCAGTTCAAACCCACCAGCTTCTCCTCAGAAACCCTATACTGCAGTGTATGATGGGCTATATAAAGCCCTCGGAATCATTTGGTCTGGCCTCGCCAAGGCAGCTGCAGTTCCAGCCATCACTTTATGGTTGTTGTTAAGTGTCATTGAGTCGGTTCTGACTCATGGCGACTTTGTATAGGGTTTCTGAGGAGAGGCTGGTAAATTTGAATCACTGACCTTGTGGTTCATACCGACATTAAGGTCTAGTGCTTATCCTAAGGTGCCATGCCAGGACTCCAGCCCTTATATTAGGGGTGAGTCAGTGGAATGTTTGACCAAATAATAGCAGGCTAATTTTTAAGTTGATCATTTTGTATGACCCGTGAATGATGTTAGTAATTTTGGCAAAAGAAAGTTTCCCCACCCCTGCTGGGCAGAGTCCTTATAGGTTGGACTGTGCTCAACAACAACAACAACACACCTCCTCTGAGCTTCCACAGCTCTCTATGGCAGTGCACAATCTGCATTGTACTTTCCAGGGTATGGAACGGAGGGGCCCTTCTTGACCCCCACCTCACCGACCCCCCACCTGGGGAAGGTGAGTGGTGGTTGTGATGTTCCAGAGCCTCAGCCCAGTGGGTAGAGCAGAGCAGGGATGGTAGGAAGGAAGAAGAGGGACCCTGTTCTGACATTGTCTTGGACCCCACCTATTCCCCATGTCCCTTGCTGTCTGGAAGCTCCCCTTTGCTTCCTCACCACTGCCTACCCAAGTGATATGTCCACCTTGTCCTTCCAGGCTTGGAAAATGCCCCCTGCTTTCCCTTCCCCTCTTTCTCTCAAGAAACTCTTGTTTCTTGTTGTCTCCTCATCTTTCCCAGTCCCCCTTGGAGGTGGGGGCTACCTGGAGACAAAGACCAAAAAGAGGAAGACTCCTGTTTTGTCCTACAGTTGCTCTGACTGTGTTTCCCAATAGGGAATCTAGGACTCCGAGCCACTCTCACCCTCGGCCTGAAGGGCACTTTGGGAGCTATTTTAAACTGAACTGCTAGGCTGTTTTGTTTTAGACATTCTCTCTTGCATTTTAAACACCTCAGTTTGCAAACATTTGCATCTGTAGACGTTTTCATGAACTCATATTTTGCATACTTTGCACCTGTCCCACATGTCAGTATACTGATCTAGTTCTCAACTTATCTTGTAGGGATGAAAAATTCAATTGAGGTTCTTAATCTCTTCCAAACAAAAACTTTCCATGACTTAGTTTGTGAGCATATGTATTTTCTGTACAGTAGAGGTGATGGGATCAACAAAACCATTCTAATGTTTTTTAAATTTTAACTTTTTTAAATATATGAGTTTTATCACTTTTTGTTAAGGAGCTCTGGTAGCGTAGTGGTTACGAATCGGGCTGCGAACCTTAAGGTCAGCGGTTCGAAACTACCAGCTGCTCCGCGGGAGAAAGATGAGGCTTTCTACTCCCGTAAAGATTTACACCCTCGGAAACCCTGTACAGGGTCGCTATGGGTCGGAACCGACTCGATGGCACTTAACAACAACAACAACAATCACTTTTTGTTAGTGTTTTTACTTTCATCCGTTTTTTATAGTTTTGCCAGTAGTTGAGTTCTTTAAATTGGTTCACATTTTTTAATGATAGATAAAAATGAGCCATAATCCTACTCTTTGGATAGTTTCTGTTGGCTGTTTTCTTATAGCTTTTGTCCCAGGTGAAAATCTAAACAGTAAAGAATAAAGGTAGAAAGGTGTCATGTGATGCACATGAAAAGGAAGGTGTCTCTTATCCCCTGTGGTGGTGAGGGGCTGGCAAGTCGGAGTCAACTCAGAGTAACCCTGTCAGCAATAGAACCAAACGCTGCCAGTCCTCTGAACAACAGAACCAAGCACTGCCAGTCCTGTGAACAACAGAACCAAACGCTGCCAGTCCTGTGAACAACAGAACCAA